CGGCGAGTCAACCCTCGGAGGTTGAACAACTGCTGGAGGTTACGTGAAAGTCAAAGGTCAGCGACCTTTGACCTGACAAGTACAGCGCAACAGCAAGGACAAACAACTGACTCGTTATTGAGCAGTTGCCCGAGTCGTCACTGTATCGAACCGCAACAGCAACAGCAAAACAGTTATTAGTTATAACCCTTCATATTCCCTTGTACTCTTATAAAAGCTTGTATCTCTTTGTCTTAATCAATCGACTTTGCCCTCACATACCAGCGCAAGGTGGTTCACAAACATGAAGTTTTTTGAAAGTGTGTAACACTTTCTAAAAATGTATATTTCGAAAGCGACGCTGCTTTTAATGCAGCAATGGCAACGGCGAAGTGCTCTACGCTCTTCGCCAACTATATAGCAGGGGGTGGAGGCCATTTGGCCTCCACCCACGTCTTCGTTTGAAATTTCAAATGTCTTATTTCATTCTCGTCCGACGACTTGGCGCTTCCCGTTTTCCTCAGTTTCTCACTTCTCTCATAAAATAGTAGGCATCAACTCAATTGACATGGCACAACGTGTTTCAGAAACAGGCACCCGTCCGCACAATAGGCGCGCTTGTTGGGGCTAATAAAGCGACAACGCCACTGGCGCACGTGGCGACGAAATCGCCACAAGCGCGCGTGGCGACGAAATCGCCACAGGCGCGCGTGGCGACGAAACCGCCACAGGCGCGTATGGCGAAGCAATCGCCACAGGTGCTCGTGGCGACGAAATCGCCACAGGCGCGTGTGGCGACGAAAACGCCACAGGCGCGCGTGGCGACGAAAACGCCACAGGCACGCGTGGCGAAATCGCCAGTGGCGCACGTGGCGTAAAAATCGCCAGCGGCGCAAGTGGCGCCAGTGGCGCTCATGGCGCCGAAATGGTCAAAATCGCCACTGGCACACGTGGCTACGACATCGCCAGTGGCGTGCAATAACCAGGGGCTCGTCCAGCGGCAGTCGGCAACAGCAGGTTGGCAAAATCTCCAGAGACAAACTGGCATGACATATGCTCTCCTGCTGCTGACATTGTCAGCGGATAACTTATTACCTTGCATATGTTTCCACCTTTTCTTCGTACGTATCTTCGATTTTTGTTTGTCTTCGTTTTTCTCTCGTGTTATTTATTACCTCTGATCGCAGTAAATCGGTGCGAGGCAACTACCATAGCTTTGGGTCACCATGAGAGACCATCGGCGAAGAAAGACTGCGGCAAACAATTGGCACAACCCCATGCGCCCCCGTGCGGTGCTGGCCAGCGAGCTCCCCAGGGGGGAGGAGGACCGGTGGGTCCTGTGCGGTGCTGGCCAGCGAGCTCCCGAGGGGGGAGGAGGACCGGTGGGTCCTGTGCGGTGCTGGCCAGCGAGCTCCCCAGGGGGGAGGAGGACCGGTGGGTCCTGTGCGGTGCTGGCCAGCGAGCTCCCCAGGGGGGAGGAGGACCGGTGGGTCCTGTGCGGTGCTGGCCAGCGAGCTCCCCAGGGGGGAGGAGGGCCGGTGGGTCCCGTGCGGTGCTGGCCAGCGAGCTCCCCAGGGGGGAGGAGGACCGGTGGGTCCTTAGTGGTGCTGGCCAGCGAGATCCCCAGTGGGGAGGAGGACCGGTGGGTCCTGTGCGGTGCTGGCCAGCGAGCTCCCTAGGGGGGAGGAGGACCGGTGGGTCCTGTGCGGTGCTGGCCAGCGAGCTCCCCAGGGGGGAGGAGGACCGGTGGGTCCTGTGCGTTGCTGGCCAGCGAGCTCCCCAGGGGGGAGGAGGACTGGTGGGCCCTGTGCGGTGCTGGCCAGCGAGCTCCCCAGGGGGGAGGAGGACCGGTGGGTCCCTTTTTGGCTTGTGGGCCATTTGTAGGGTAGATTCATGGTTGTGCAATTTAGTTACACTTCTCACACACCTTAGGCTTTGAAAGCCTTCAATTGCACGGTCCGGATGTGGTCACACTTGAGTTGGTTGATTGAACAATGTTGTGGTGAGTTTGAAATGGTGCTCAAGTCTAGCAGATCCAAAAAAAAAAAGAAAAAAAAAAACACACACATACAAAGGGCTCAAAGGCCGGCAGATTTACCGTATCCGGATACAGATGCATGCACTCTTCGTAATGTGAGCACGGTTGTGACTGCTACAAGGGTTGGGCTCCTACAAGCATCACATCCATCATCACACAAAACACCAATGCCCGTTACCCGAGTCCTCCTATACTGCTTGCGAGTTTGTGTCCGAAGCTCACATGTCAGCCGACTCTCATAAATCAACATTACTGTGCTACACTCGGGGCAACACTTCATCCAAGGCAACAGCAGGGAATACAGCATCACCATCAACATCGGTGCCAGCCTCTCCTTCGTGCGTGATTGGACCTCCACCGACATGTCATCGCATAAGCCACAAACAACCTTTACCATCTCGTTAGAATGACCCCGTCTCATGTCTTAGAAGACCCATTTGAAACGAAGCTCGTTGCCATTGCAAACACAAGAAAGCAAGCTTTCTAAATATGAAGTTTTTTGAAAGTGTGTAACACTTTCTAAAGATGTATATTTCGAAAGCGACGCTGCTTGTAATGCAGCAATGGCAACGGCGAAGTGCTCTACGCTCTTCGCCAACTATATAGCAGGGGGTGGAGGCCATTTGGCCTCCACCCACGTCTTCGTTTGAAATTTCAAATGTCTTATTTCCCACCCACCTACCCTAGCAAAAATTGCATGTTGGAACTTGTAATGTAGGTACCATATCTAAGTAGGACGAGAATGTTGTAATGCCCATTTGAAACGAAGCTCGTTGCCATTGCAAACACAAGAAAGCAAGCTTTCTAAATCTTTCATTAAACGCTTCCGCTATTACATTGTCCTACTCAGAGTTTAGTCCTGCAAAGATCCTAAGGGCTTTCTCAGCCAGGGCCCGTGCTAGGATTTGGGGCATCCTGAGCCCTCAGGGCACTTTTCTGGAATCTTAAAAAATGCCCTGATTTGTCAGGGCAAATTTTCCAAGCCTTCCTGTTTGTTCAGGGCTTGTGCAGAAACTAATCCTGACCTGTCAGGGCAAAAACTATAGTGTTCAGGGTTCAGATTTTAGCACAGACAAAGACCAGACTCTGTGATGCAGAGCAGAGCAGAGCAGAGCAGCCGCATCACACATATAGTAGGTGTTTTACTACCCGATTAACCCCTTCGCCAGCAGCGCCGTAGTTTGTGCCGTGTCCTGCGTGCTTGATACACAAATTGCACCTCACAGATGGGAAACCGAAGGAAGTTTGACAAAGCACGAGCCACGGGAAATCAGTTGACCATTCCCGTTTGTACTTCATAAGCGCCTCCTGGTATTTATCCTCTGCCTCATCGCGCAGTTCCTCCGTCGATGAAGATGCAGCAGGAACGGCCGATGGTCATGGTACAGCTGGCTCTAAGCGGATACGTACGGTGGGTTCCGTAGGACTCTCGCGAGAGAACGACAAGCGCGACTGTTTGTGCTTGGTAGCTCTTAATTTAGCGGTAGGGGCAGGGCCGATGCGTGTCGCACCAGGTGGCACAACGTTTGTGCTGTTCCTACTAGCACGGGCGGGTGTGACTGCGGGAGTTCGAGATGAACCAGCTGCAGGTGAGGCCGTTGGTAACGTGGACACCGCTCGAACAGGACGCAAGAAATCTAAGCCGGTAAGACCTCGTGATATTGGCGTCGCGCCATCGTTCTCGTTGGCCATGACTAGTACGACTGAGCCAGCCGAGCTTCACTTGTGCTACTCAAACAGCAACACTGGAAGAGTGTTGGTTGGGTTGGATGGAGGAGTGCTCAGAGAGACACCCAGCTAGTGCATGCATGGCACACGACGAGTTGCCTTGCCCAACCTGTTCCCCCTAGTCTGATGGGTTTGTCTTGGCTGGTGCGTTGCGGGGGATCGGAACAGAACTCTCAAAGATCGTGCGAAGGCGGGAAACACACACGGGGGAAAAAATCACCGGAGACGAAAGTCCCTGGGGACGAAACCCACCCCCCCCCCCCCCCCCCCCCCCCCCCCCCCCCCCCCCCAAAAAAAAATGCGTCAGGGTTGGCCTTGATATTCATCCTGACGCTACAGGGGGGAACACTACGGCCATCCTGAGAGTTCAGGGCTTTGCATATAAAAACATCCTGGGACCTCAGGGTGAAAATTGGCACTATTCTGAAATGACAGGGTAAATTCAAAACTGCATCCTGAATTCAGGGTAATCAGGATGTTTTGCCCTGATAACGTGGGCCCTGTTCTCAGCCCAACAAAAAAGAGCAACAGGTATGGTAAACAGAACAGGCCTTCAGGTCCACCTGTCTACTTCAATCGCCCAGAGCGTAGAATATACCTTGTGTGCACAGCACACGCAGGCCCCCCTAGGAAACACTATTCCTTATTAAACATTTAAATACATTATGCCATAGCTGAGCATTTGAACACATTACAAACTTTGTGTTACTGCCATCAGATGGGTGTTAATTTTGACCTGTTAGGCACCTTAGCATCAGCAGCACAGCACAGCACAACAGATGCACCACTCACAGACCACTGGAGCGCAGAGCTTTTGTCGGCCGGCCGACTCATGAGCGAACCTGTGTGTGTGTGTGTGAGGCGACTGAAAAGTCACCTCGTATACCACTCCTCCAGGGACAGCACAGCAAAGGCGCCATTGCGCGTGTGAGTGTGACCTGTCACTTGGCGTGACTTGTGTGTGAGTCGACTAAAAACGCGGTCAGTCACTCCTCCAAAGAGAGCATGATGAAGGCGTCACAGAGCGACCACTGCCGGGCAGGGCAGCACTCCTGTTGGGGGGCCTCCTTGTGAGTCAGCTTGTATGTGAGCCAACTCACAAGTCACCTTGCCGATCGGTGCAGTTTCTCATTCTTCATTCCTCCAAAGGGAGCACGATGAATGCATCACTGAGCGACCACTGCCGGGCGGGTGACTTGTCACTTGGCTTGGTAAGCTGCCTTGCGGGTTGACTCAAACGCCGCTTCCAGGGTCATTATTCCTCCAAAGAGAGCACGATGAAGGCATCGCTGAGCGACCACTGCCGGGCGGCACTCTTGTTGGGCGGGTTGAGCACCGCCACCTCCTCGCCGCCCAGGCGGTAGCCAATCACAATCTCCAGGCGCTGCCGCGCGCGCACCATCACCTCGAAGAAGCTCAGCTCCTCCCCCTCGTATAGGTAGAGCTCCGCTGGGCGAATGTACATCTCATTGCCCTGGTTGGTGGGATGGGATCAGGGGTGGTGGAGTGGGAGTTTAGAGTGGCGTAAAAACACACCATCACCTCGAAGAAGCTCAGCTCCTCTCCCTCGTATAGGTAGAGCTCCGCTGGGCGAATGTACATCTCATTGCCCTGGTTGGTGGGATGGGATCAGGGGTGGTGGAGTGGGAGTTTAGAGTGGCGTAAAAACACACCATCACCGCGAAGAAGCTCAGCTCCTCTCCCTCGTATAGGTAGAGCTCTGCTGGGCGAATGTATATCTCATTGCCCTGGTTGGTGGGATGGGATCAGGGGTGGTGGAGTGGGAGTTTAGAGTGGCGTAAAAACACACCATCACCTCGAAGAAGCTCAGATCCTCTCCCTCGTATAGGTAGAGCTCTGCTGGGCGAATGTACATGTCATTGCCCTGGTTGGTGGGATGTGGGAAGAGGCTTTTGAGAATGGGGATGGAATGGATGGTGATGCCCCTGGTGCATGCATGAATACAACGGGCTGCATGCACATACAATCAGGTGTGTGGCCGCGAGAGCAGTGCTTTGGAGGTTCAGAATAGCAGCCGACGAAGGTGAATGAAGACCGGGCTAGAACGAGAAGAATAAAAATCATGAGCTCTTCTCAGGCAGGAAGCATACCTCTTCTGAGAAGAGCTCTTCCAGCACGCGGTTGATCTCCCGATCCTCTGACACCTGCATGCACATGGGTCACATGGGTGGGTCGCATTTGGTGCGCACATGGTTTGAAGAGCAAATTCAGAGCCACGAGGACATTTGGGTTGTCACGATGAAAATGAGCTTGTTAGTGCGAGAGCAGAGAGTCACTGATTTTAGAAACAGACACGAGCGCGTGCTTCAGTCGACAAGCAAAGGAATGTCGTACCATTGACCCTCATGCTCAACCCAAGCACCCACCACAGCCAGGGCCATGGAAACAAGCTCATTGGAATCGTCACTGATCTTAGACACCGAGACGAGGGACCGTGTGCGGGAATCCAGTGAAGGGGTGGAGGAGCAAGCAAGGGAGTGTCTCACCATTGCCAGGGCCATGGAGACGAGCTCATTGGAGAGCACATAGTCGCGTTTTGAGTCGACTCAAAACTCGACTTATCAGCAAGGGAGTGTCTCACCATTGCCAGAGCCATGGAGACGAGCTCACTGGAGAGCACAGAGTCGCTGATCTTGGACACTGCCACGAGCGAGCACGTGCACGAGTAGGGGAGCAAAAAAGTCTCCTACCATCAACCCTGATGCTCAATCCATGCACTCACCATTGCGAGGGCCATGGAGACGAGCTCATTGGAGAGCACATAGTCGCTGATCTTGGACACGGCCACGAGGGATCGCGTGCGCGAGTCGAGAATCTCGGAAATAACAATCGACTGCTGCGACGCCTTCTGCATCTGCCTGATCCACGAGCCCCCGTTCCCATTCCCATTCCCGATCCCACTGGAACCAGCAGCACCATCCGCCCCCGCCCCGACCCCTGCGCCTGCCCCTGATGCTGCTGCTCCCAGGCCGCCAGCAGCGAAAGCGGCAGCGGCGGCGGCGGCAGCAGCGCCAGGCACGATGTGTGCGCTGCGCGAGGGCCCGCGGGCAGGGGCGCCGGAGAAGCAGACCTCGTAGGGCATGCGCTTGGACTGCAGGGGAAGAGGGGGGAGAGGAGGAAAAAGAAGGGCGTGAGGAGAGGTGGGGTGTGAGTGGGGCAGGAGGAGTATTTACAGGCACCTCAAGAACCATATCGTAGGTGGGATGTGATTGCCTTGGGCAAGTGAGAGAGTAATTGCACTGGACGAGCAACAGAGCGGTTGGGGAGCTGGAATCCTTCTACCTGGCTGGCCAAAGGGTGAATGTAACAACCTCAGTTGCTTGTTCTACCCGGCAAATAAGGAACGGTTCGGGTTGACAAATCTTTTGGATTACAACTTGGCTGGGAGTGTGTCGGAAGTTGGCCATGTACTGTTGGGGTGTAAACTTTCAACAGCCCATGTGTTCATTTCATCGCCCCAGTTTGAGGCGGCGGCCAAGTTGGGCAAGAAACCTGCCTATCTAGAGTGTTCACCACCTCCAACCCAAACAGTACATGGCCCACCTCTGACACCCTCCCAGCCAAGTTGTAATCCTCAAGATTTTCCAATTCTAGCCGTTCCTTATCTGCACCTGTGATTTGAACCCTATATTTTTCCAGGTAGAACGAGCAGTTGGGATGTTACATTCACTCTTTGGCCGGCCGGGTAGAAGGGTTCCAGCCCTCCAACCTCTCTGCTGCTCGTCCAATGCAATTACTCTCTCACGTGCCCAGAGCAATCACTTTCTCTCACTTGCACTTCACACCAGCTAACCAAAGTGTTTCTACTAGCAAGCTGGATGTGACCCCATCAACTTCTCTTGAGCGGATGGGGTCACCTGGATGTCGCGGATGAGCAGCAGCGTGGCGAGCGAGCGCAAGTCAGAGTTGATGGTTGACACAGCTCCCACCGTCTCCAGATAACACCTACACTCCCTCCCACCTCCCTCGTGCAGCACTCACCTGGATGTCGCGGATGAGCAGCAGCGTGGCGAGCGAGCGCGAGTCAGAGTTGATCACCGAGTCCTCCACGCCTTCGTCGGCTAGAATGAGGATCTGTAAAGGGGAGAGAGAGAGAGAGAGAGAGAGAGAGAGAGAGAGAGAGAGAGAGAGAGAGAGAGAGAGAGAGAGAGAGAGAGAGAGAGAGAGGAAACCCCTTAGCCCTCTGCCCTCTGCCTCATCCCTCTGCCCTCCGCCCTCCAGAGCTATTTAAGGGCTGTTCCCCCCTCCTTCTCCTCATTATTTTCGTGTGGAGTTCATTTCCAGCGGCTCGCGCCGGCGGCCTTCGGCCGCCGCCGCTCGCCAGCGCGGCCTTCGGCCGCGCGCTCCTGGTGGCAAGGAACAAGTCGGTGGATTGCTATACCAGGAAGAACACGCACGCAAAGGATTCAAGGGAGAAAAGCCTAGGCAAAAGAAAACGGCATGCAATACTACACGCGGCGGAGGCCTACATCGTGTACGGCTCCGCCCCCTCCATCTCAAGCATCGAGCGCATGCACGCCGATACCGCAAGAAGGAGATGCGCCGATGACTGGAGCATGTCCAGGGGGGTCCCGGCCTGAGCAGCCCCTACAAGATCCCCCACGTGGCGGGGGAAAGTACGGGCTAAGGGAGCTACCCCGGCGGGCGCTTCCGACACGGGCGCCAACGGCGACTCGAGCGATTCTGCCAAAGTCACGCAGGATCCTCGGGATCCTGGACCGAAACTGCTCGGAAAGTTCCGGGTGGCCCCACACACCGCCAGCTGCAAGCTCGCCACCACCTCGCTCGCCTCCGCCAGATTCAATATCCGGCACATGGTCAGCATGGGGTCTCTCCCCGCGGGATTGGGGAGAGGTGCGGTCTGCTCTTCGCGCGGAAACGACGCCGACCAGCCAGGAACGCGGCCAACAGTCATGCGCCCAGCGGAGAAGCCTGGAACCTGACGAGGCGAGCGATACTCGGGTCTCCCCACCCGCGCGGGCAGATACTCGGTCAGCATCGGCGCGCGCAGGGGGGCCACCTGGCCGGGATCCGCGGCAAAGGGAGGTCCATTCGTCACCTCGATGTGAACGTGAGTCGCCCCCCCGCTCGCCCGGGCCTGCCGCACCACATCCACGAAAGTGTTCGCAGCGTGATCAAGAGCAGGATCCGGCTGGCGGCCAGATGAGCCGCGCCCTCCGCCATTCCGCCGGCCCCGCCGCCCAGCGGAACCACCCGAATTCGGACGCGGAGGGGACTGCTCGCGGCGACCCGATTCCCAGCGACGCCCAGGCGACCCCCTCCCCCGCGTCGCCGGAGCTCGCCGCGGTGATTGTTGAGCGGGGGATCGCGCTCGGGGTGAGCGCGGGCCTGCTCGACCTCGGGGGGACGGGCGCCGAGGAGAGGGAGGACGCTCAGGGGAGCGCTGATCCCCCTTCCTGCGCTGATTATGCTCGCGACGCGCGGGAGATGGGCGACGAGGAGACGGCTGCCGTAGGGGCTGACGCTGAGGCGAGTGCCCGCGCACCTGCGGCGGCTGACCGTCTGGACGGTTCGACGCAACACGCGCCGGAGCCCACGAATACTCAGGGGAGGAGGGGCGCGCGGCCGGCTGATGGGGAAGAGTCTGCACCCGCTCGAAGCGGCGGACGGGCTCGCTTGCGGAGGGATGCGCAAGAAGACGCGGACGAGGCTCGGCAGGTGCAGGCTCCCGCGGCGCGCTCTCCGCGGAATGCTCAAGCTCTGGATCCCGTCTTGCGGACGGGTCCATCACTCCCGACCGTAGCGCAGCAGATGCCAGCGCGCCGACGAGGCGAGGACGAGACGACCGCGGTGCCGCAAACGGAGCGCGAGGGAGTCGCGGCAGCAAGAGTAACGCGCGGAATCCGCGTCGGACGCGGCAGTCGCCGCGGACGAAGGGGTAGCGAGCGTGGACGGAGAGGTGGCGGTGCGCGGGGCACGAACAGACGCCGCACAGGAGCCAGCGGCTTCGCGAGAAACGCGGAGAGGCTGATACGACAGAGCGCAAGAGGCGGCGAGGAAGAACCTCGCGAGGAGACAGAGGAGGCTGCGGAGAATGAGGGAAGTGACGAGGGTGACCCCTTATTTAACCCTGATAGAGAGGGGTTGTTAGGGGCAGAAGTCGAGGAGGATGAAGAGGAGTTGGATCGCCTACTCCAGGGAGGGGAGGTCCCCAGCCCACGTGCCCGAGGCGATCCTGCCAACCGAACCACATCCGAAGGTGGGGGGCAAAATCCAAACCCGGGCCGAGCCGCATCTGCAACTCCAACCCCCAGAAATCGGACCGCGAGACCAAACCGAACCGCCCCCAACATTGCGGTTACCACCGCCCCAGCCAGTAACACGGGCCCAACGCCTGCCACCCACGCCCCAATCATCAGCGCTGACATCCTGGCAGGTCGTCAAGACCTTTTCGCTGACATCGCCAACTGGGACCTCGGCCCGCTGCGCGACAGCAGACAGCCACCCCTTGCCCGCCACCCACCTCGCCCACTTCGCGAATCCTTCGCCATCTGCCTGCTGACCCCACTTCTGCACCTCGCCAAAACCCCTGATTCCACATCTGGCTGGAAGCTGCTGATGTTTCTCCCGCGAATTCTCCTGCGCTCGTCATCTGCACGAAAACCAGACTGGAAGGCAATGGGCGACAGACTGACGAGATTTCGCCAAGGGCAGTGGCGCGGCCTTTACGACGAGGCGGCAGAAGCAGTGAACAACAACCCCCAACCACGCCACGTACTTGACACCACGGGAAAGCTGGCGAGAGCCGAGGGATTGGCGAAAAGGGGAAACCTAGCGAAGTCCCTCCAGTCGCTAACTGCCACGCCCGTCTGCTCGCCAACCCCTGACGTTTTGAGTGCGCTCACGGCCAGGCACCCAAGGGCAACCGCGGCTATCCCAGACTGGGTGCAAGACTTTGCCCCTGAGACTCTGCCCTCAATCACAGCTCGCGATTTCAGGAAGCTGCTTGCCCGTTGCCCCAACGGCGTAGGGGCTGGGCCATCAGGGACTACCTTCGAGCACCTGAGGGATGCGGCCCTTGGGAACGCCGACGTCCTCTTGCAACTGCACGCGCTTACCAACACGGCGCTAGCGGGTAAACTGAACGCCGAGGCTGCAGATCTACTCACCGCTTCGCGTCTGCTCGCCTTCACGAAACCCCAAGGCGGAACTAGGCCAATAGCCGTGGGTGAATGTCTGCTGCGTATTGTCACAAAGGCGGCGCTCTTCCTGGCCGCTCCTGCAGCGCGCGACCACTTCACCCCGCTACAATTCGGTGTGGCGATCGCGGGGGGCATTGAGGCAGCGATACACGCGGCCCGCACCTACCTGGAGGAGTTCCCTGGAGCAACGGCCCTCCAGATTGACCTGGCAAACGCTTTCAATGCCGTGGAGCGCGCGGCGGTGTTTGAAGGACTGAAAGGCACGAAGCTTGACACCCTGGTCCCCCTCGTCCGCCTCTCATACAGCCGCCCATCAGCCCTCTACCTCGACCACGACTTCGAGGCGGCGCCTCTACAGAGCGCGCGAGGCGTGCGCCAGGGTGACCCACTAGGTCCTATGCTGTTCGCGGCCAGCATCCACCCCTGTCTCGCTGCAACGGCGACGGCCCACCCAGAGGTGGTGCTCCTCGCGTACGCAGATGACATCACCCTGCTAGGCGAGACCGCGAGCTGCACGGCGGCCTTCAACCACCTCACGGAAGCCCTTCTCAGCCACGGCCTGTCCCACAACCCCGCGAAATGCGAAGCATGGTCCGCCACAGCCCTGGAGCCCGCCGCTCTGCCCCATGGCGTCACTATCTCCCGGGACGGGATCCGCGTCTTGGGCAGCCCGATTGGGCCCCCCGCAGGCTGCGCTGCCCGAGTGCGGGAACGCCTTACTGCTACTGCTGAACCGCTCCCGCTCCTCTCCCAGATGGACCCGCAACTCTGCCTGCTCCTACTTACCCGCTGCGTGAGCCGCCGCGCTTCTTTCATGGTCAGAACCACGCCGCTTGAAGCCCTACCTCTGAGGGAATGGTCCGCCTGGGGGGAAGAACTGTTCCATACCTACCTTGCCGCAGCACACACAGAAATCCCCAGAGCCCGGGTCGAGAGGGAGAGGATTTGGCACCAGGCCGCCCTGCCCGCGTCCCTGGGAGGCCTGGGCATCACCAACCCTGCAGTGGAGGGGGGATATGCTTACCTGGCTGCAGTCACTGCTGCTGCACACCTGCTGCGCTCCTTCGGCGACGCGGCAAACCCTGCTCTCACTGGACTCCTGCCGCTAATGGACCCCAACGAGGAATCTACGTCCCTCCTCCCAAGGCGCCTTGCCGCTCTGGAAGCCGAGCTGCCTCCTGAGGGGATCGAGGCTCTCCAAGTGGGGAGACAGAGACCGGACGGGCCAAAGCTCCAACAATCGCTCTCTCTCGCGGTTCAAACTGCAAGGTTCATGCAACTGCTCGAGAGCTCGCGGGAGATGGAGCTCAACCCACTGTTCGGACACACGCAGCGGCTGCAGTCCCTCTTGGGCCCCGGCGCAGGGGACTGGCTGCTCGCCGTCCCGCTGATCTCCTCCCTCCGCCTCGGGCCCTCTCAGTTCTCCACAGCGGCCTCCTTCCGCCTAGGCCTGCCCCTACCTGTGCCAAGGCGCTGTGACTGCAGATACCGCACCACATTCCCTGACGACCGTCTACCGAACCATTTGATGCGGTGCGAGAAAGGGGGGGGGAGAATTGCAACTCACAATGCCCTTCGGGACGAGTGCGCAAAGATAGCTGCGGAAGCGGGCTTCACCGTGCATAAGGAGACAACGGCTTACTCACCGGTCGAAAACCTCAAAGCGGATATCTCTATCCGCCATCCCGACACCGGTGAGGTGTGGATCTGTGACATCACGGTCACGGACCCCATCTCCCTCCAGGATGAATACGCCCGTAAAGCTCCCGGTTGGGCTGCTAGAATGCAGGCGGACAAGAAGGCAAGCAAATACGCCAGGCGGAGCGCTTGGGTGGGCTTTTACGCCCTCGCGGTTGAGACCTACGGTTACCCCTCGAGGGGAGTCCTGGAATTCCTTCGCAGCTGCGCGGAGTTAGCGGCCAGGCGGCGGTTCAACGCCACTCCCAAGTCGAGGGAATGCGCCAGGCTACTCACCGAGTACCGGCAGCGGTGGAGTGTGACCCTGCAGAGAGCGCAAGCCACTGCCCTCAGGGATAAGACCCATGAGGCCCTCACAGCGGATGTGCTCGGCCTGCAGGGCCCGTTTACTCCAATGAGCGAGGGGCAGCTGTATCAGTTGATAGAAGACCCCTCCGGCCATTAGGGCCGGGCGGGGAGGGGGGGGCTGGGGCTGGGGTAGTGCACGGTTAGCTGTTGTTTTGCTGTAGCCTTGCTGCGAGACTGCTGTAGCCTTACCATGTGTGTACCTTGCTGACATTAATACCAAGGACCGTTCGAGAGAGAGAGAGAGAGAGAGAGAGAGAGAGAGAGAGAGAGAGAGAGAGAGAGAGAGAGAGAGAGAGAGAGAGAGAGAGAGAGATAATGAGGATAACCTATGTATACTCTCTCGTTGAAAACCTGAAGGCGGACGTCGCAATCCGCCATCCCCGGACGGGAGAGGTATGGAGGTGCGACGTGACAGTGACGGACCCCGTTTCTCACCAAGATGAGAACTGCAACAGAGCACCGGGGTGGGCGGCTAGGGCAGCTGCGGACAAAAAGGAGCAAAAATACGCGCGCCGGAATGCGTGGGTGGGCTTTCATGCCCTAGCGGTAGAGACGTATGGGTACCCCTCGCCCGGGGTTTTGGCATTCTTGCGGCAGTGCGCGGAGCTGGCGGCCAAATTGCGATTCAACGCAGCCCCCACCTCCTACGAAGCCGCCAAGCTGCTGACGGAATACCGCCAGCGCTGTATGCCTCCAAAAAGCACAAGCCAACGCCCTTCGCTGCAAGACCAACGAGGCGATAGCAGCGGACGAGCTCGGCATGCGGGGCCCCTTTGCCCCCCTTAGCGAAGGCCAGCTCTACCAGCTAATAGAGCCCCCGTTCGACACTTAGGGTCGGGCGGAGGGGGTGGGAGGGAGTAAGGGAGTGGGGTAGTTAGGTAGACCGTGTGTTATATCTGAAGTTTGCATGTGTTTGCACCTTCCCATGTAGCTCCCACCAATCAATATAAGGCCCATTCGAGAGAGAGAGAAGAGATAGGGGAAGGAGGGAAGAGAGAAGGTAACAATAGCACTTGAGAGAGAGTGTGAGTGCGGTTTGATCACCGAGTCCTCTACACCCTCTCCTCCGCGATAATGAGGATCTGAGAGGGAGGGCGCGGGCGAGTGGAGAGAAGAGCGAGAGGAAAGAACAGGTGATCGAGGTTCAGAGTGGTTGGGATCACTTGAGCAGCAGCAGCGCACCGAGTCTCACACCACTTGTGAGAATTCCTGCAATATACCTAGGAGGCTCACCAAGTCAAACGTCTCGAGGGGGAGGCTTTCAAAATGGCAGCGGATGACAGCGCTTCCCACTCGTTGCGCTGTCATCGCTGAAAGGGCCACGTTCTCCAGGTGCTGATGAAAGGATGGACGTGGGGTGGGACCCGGTCTTCATGGCTCACCGAAACAAAGGTTTCGAGGGGGAGGCAGCTCACCGAGTCGAACGTCTCAAGAGGAAGGCTTTCGAGGTGGCGGCGGATGACGGCGTTGCCCACGCGGTGCACGAGAGCCACGTTCTCCAGGTCACCCGGGTTGAGCCCGCCCTCCATCAGCCTCTCCTCGCGCTCCTCCACCGGCACCTCACAGAATATCCACAGCTCTGAGCCGCGCGCTAGGAAGGCTTCGAGCACCTGAGTGGAAGGGGGGGAGGAATGGAAGGTGCGGCAGAGAGGTGACAATGAGAGGCGAACATAGGAGGTCCATCGTGCTTACACTCCTGTCCTCCACCGGCAACTCACAGATTACAGAGAGGCGAAGGAAAGCCTCACAGATTACCCGCAGCTCTGAGCCCCGCGCAAGGAAAGCCTCTCTGTGGAGCTTTCCTTGTGGAGGGTTGGGGGTGGGACGTTGTGAGTGATTTTTGAGAATTCTCAAAAATCACTCACAGGGACGTGGGGACAATGAGTGGCGAGAATAGCAGGAGGGTCATCGTGCTTCTGCTCCTCCGTTATTATTTTACCGCATTTCCACAGCACCTGCCAGTGAGGGGTGGGAGGGTTTTTGAGTCGACTCAAAAGCACCTGCCAGGGAGGGGTGGGGGGGTCCGAGAGCAACAAGGGGCGGCGTGGGTGACGAGGAGAGGGGCAGAGAGGAGAGAGACACCGTCCTTGCATTCCCTGCCACAGCAAACCCTCTGTAGGACCACACTCATGTCGTCATCACGTCAAACCAGCGTACTGCTCGAGCAGTCCCTGTGAGGCTCGCTCATGCCATGCTGCATGCCGCCTCACATGCCACAACAAAAAGTTTGGAATACAAGAACACAAAGCCGCACCACAATCATGTCGTCAATGTCTCTTCGCCATCCGCAGAATAATATCTTTTCGGGCAGCTTGGGCGGCACGACGACGTCGGGCAGCATGGCGTGGCGCACGTGGGGCAGTGGACCGGGCGCGTACGAGTCATCATCCTCCGCCACCACCAGCACTGCATCGTCGGCCTGGCGGTGGTGAGAGGGGGATGCAAAAAAAGGAAAGACAGGGATGCGTGTAATTTATTAGCCTCTCAGATCGTCAGCTACTGCACCGGGTGCATAGGAGTCATCATCCTCCGCCACCACCAGCACTGCATCGTCGGGCTGGCGGTCAGAAGGAGTTGGAGCAACAGAAAAGGGGAAGGATGAGATGTTGATAAACTTGTGACTACTCACGCACCAACGGGGCGCACACGAGTCATCATCCTCCGCCACCACCAACACTGCATTATCGGGCTGGCAGCGGTGAGAGAAGGGGAAGGCAGAAATGAGGTGGTGATAAACGTAGAGGGGGTGGTGATGGAGTCAAGGGGCATGTACGGAATCGTGTTTTGGGTCGACTCAAAACACGACCTGCAGCCCACTCACCAACAAACCGTAGATTTCACTCACCCGCACCACACGCACTGCCCCCCCTGCCCACATCTGCAACCCATCCTCCCCCCACCTGCAGCACATAGTCATCGTCCGGGTTGAGCCAGATCCGCCCACCATCCCCGGCGATCCTCACGCCGCACGGCACGGCGTCAGGGAAGGACACGAGCACGTCACTGAAGGGCTTCCCAGCCAGCTGCGGCCAGTGCTTGACGTAGAACTCGCAGTTGTCGAACCCCAGCAGCGCCTCCCATATCTGCGCCAGGCCTGGCTGCCGTGCGCACTGGATCATCAGCCGCCCTATCACGTCGTGCGCTACCACCGTCTCCACCTGCTGCCCTCCCACCATCTGTGGGGTTTTGGGGGAGGGGGAAGAGGGCCAGGGGTGGGGAGGAGTGGGGTAAGGCAGTGGCGGATGGTGGGGAGAAGGCAGGTACCACCGTCTCCACCTGCTGCCCTCCCACCATCTGTGGGGTTGGGGGGATCGGGGAAGGGGGTGGGGAGAAGTGGGTTGGAAGGTAGGCAGGAGAGGGGGAGAGGAGGAGGACACGTGAAAGGCTGTGTGCTGGTTCAGAAATGACTTTCCCCTCCCAAGCAACAAAGCATTGCTGCTGCCTACGCCTACGACACTGCGCTCCACCGTTGTGTGCGCTCGCAGCCCTCTCAGCCTTCTCAAACCTCCTTCCCCTAATCCCTTTTCCACCTCCCTTTCTAACCCCCCTTTCCACTTCTCCCTTTCCACCTCCCTGGTGGTGAGCCCTCACCTTCAACAGCGCCTCATGATCCAAGTCGCTCAGTTCCACCACAATGTGCCCTCTCAGCCCTACAGCCCTGCTCTTCTTGTCCTCCTTTCCAACCCCCATCTGGCCCCAATAATCTCCCCTTTCCACCCACCTCCTCACCTTCACCAGCGCCTCATGATCCAAGTCGCTCAGATCAGATCCACCACGATTTGCCCTCTCAGCCTCTCCGGCTGTCTCGCCACAGACAGCGTCACCCTCATGTCTGTGGCGCTGTCTGTAGCTACAAGGCTACTTGGCTACTACCTCACATGCTGCCCTCACCTTCACCAGTGCCTCGTTATCCAGGTCACTGAGCTCCACCACTATGTGCCCCCTCAGCCCCTCCCTGCCTCCCTCCCGGCATTCCAGTGCCACACTCCACCTCTACTCTCCCTGCCCCCGCTCATCACCCTCACCTTCACCAGCGCCTCGTTGTCCAGGTCACTGAGCTCCACCACAATGTGCCCCCTCAGCCCCTCCCGCACGCCCGTGAGCGACAGCACCACCCTCAGCGCACGTGCATCCGCTGCATCGGCGTTCTCTGCCTCTGCCAGCACGATGAGTGAGCGCGCCGTGCTCACTGACACCTTCTTTAGGTCCGCTAAGACCAGGGGGGAGCCGGACCTGCGAGGGAGGGGAGGAGAGAAGCGGGGTGGGGTGAGAGCAGAGCGTGACTGAGCTTCCGCCGGCACGATGAGGGGGCGCGCCGTGCGGAGTGTCACTGACACCTTCTTCATGTCTGCTAGCACGAGACAGGAGCCCAGTCTGGCAGAGCAGGGAGGGGGAAAAGGGGGTTGAGGAGAGGAGAGACGCAAGGCAGAGTGGGCAGCACGATGAGGGGGCGCGCCGTGCTGTGCTGGGTGCCACCTTCTTTAAGTCGGCTAGTACGAGAGGGGAGCCGGACCTGACAAATGGTGGAAAAGAGGGTAAGGGAGAGCAAGGGAGAGTTGGACCTGCCCGCATTCGTTGACAACCCAATTACAATTCGTTGACGGAGGTGCCTTTGAAGGCGAATTCTATCTTGGCGATCTCGCTCTCCATCTCCTCCTTGTCCTCCTTGGTGATTCCATGCCGACAGAATGCCAGCTACAGCTACAGAGCATACTGATCGGAGGAAACGGCCTCATCCAAGAGAGCGCACCTGCAGATGACGGAGGTGCCTTTCAAGGCGAACTCCATCTTGGAGATTTCGCTCTCCATCTCCTCCTTGTCCCTCTCCGCCATCACCACCACCACGCCCCCCCCCATGCTCTCATTCGCCACCGCCAGCTGCTTCAGCAGCGACGCCTGGGCGGGTGTGGGGATGGGCATGAGGGGCATGGGCGATTGGGGAGACAGAGAGAAACACGGGATCAACATAAATCACCACCGCCACACCCCCCCCCCCCCCCTCAATGCTCTCATTCGCCACTGCCAGCTGCTTCAGCAGCGACGCCTGGGAGGAGACGAGAAGGGGGGGGGGGGGGAAGGCGGGGGGGTAGAGAGAAGGTAGGAGGCACAATGAGTGTGTTGTTGCACTCGATGACGACGCTCTTACCCTCAAACTGGTGCAATGACGTCACTCACCAGTGCCGCCTCCATCCCATTCGATGCGACGCAATGAAGACTCGACACTCCAAACCAGACTCACCAGCTTGTCCACTCCCATCCCCATCCCCATCCCCATCCCCATCCCCATCCCCATCCCCATCCCCATCCCCATCCCCATCCATATCCATATCCATATCCATATCCATATCCATATCCATATCCATATCCATATCCCCAACTCCATCCCCATCCCCATCCCCATCCCCATCCATATCCATATCCATATCCATATCCATATCCATATCCATATCCATATCCATATCCATATCCATATCCATATCCATATCCATATCCATATCCATATCCATATCCATATCCCCAACCCCATCCCCATCCCCATCCCCATCCCCATCCCCATCCCCATCCCCATCCATATCCATATCCATATCCATATCCCCAACCCCATCCCCATCCCCATCCCCATCCCCATCACCATCACCATCACCATCACCATCACCACCCCCATTCCCATCCCTATCCCCATCCTCATCCCCATCCCCATCCCCACCCCCATCCCCATCCCCATCCCCATCCCCACCCCCACCCCCATCCCCACCCCCACCCCAATCCCCATCCCCATCCCCATCCCCATCCCCATCCCCATCCCCATCCCCATCCCCATCCGCATCCCCATCCCCATCCCCATCCCCATCCCCATCCCCATCCCCATCCCCATCCCCATCCCCATCCCCATCCCCATCCCCATCCCCAACCCCACCCCCATCCCCAACCCCACCCCCATCCCCAACCCCACCACCATCCCCAACCCCACCACCATCCCCATCCCCACCACCATCCCCATCCCCACCACCATCCCCATCCCCATCCCCATCCCCATCCCCATCCCCATCCCCATCCGCATCCCCATCCCCATCCCCATCCCCATCCCCATCCCCATCCCCATCCCCAACCCCACCACCATCCCCAACCCCACCACCATCCCCATCCCCACCACCATCCCCATCCCCACCACCATCCCCATCCCCACCACCATCCCCATACCCATCCCCATCCGCATCCCCATCCCCATCCCCATCCCCATCCCCATCCCCATCCCCATCCCCATCCCCATCCCCAACCCCACCACCATCCCCAACCCCACCACCATCCCCATCCCCACCACCATCCCCATCCCCACCACCATCCCCATCCCCACCACCATCCCCATACCCATCCCCATCCCCATCCCCATCCCCATCCCCATCCCCATCCCCATCCCCATCCCCATCCCCATCCCCATCCCCATCCCCACCCACATCCCCACCCCTTTGACTCACGAGCTTGTCGCTCCAGCCGAGGATGAGTGTGTGGTTGTGCTCGATGACGTCGCTCTTGCCCTTGCGGAGCGAGTCCACCTTCTCTGAGATGCCCTCCGACACCAACCCCACCATCAGCGCAAACACCAGCATGCCGCCGATGCTCACACTCACGCTCACCACGCGCGGCCCCACGCCCTCGCTGTCCGCGTGGTTACCCGCATCTGCCACGTAGGTCCAGGCCCGCCACGTGGCGTCGGCCAGAACAAGACGCTCCTTGCCACTCACTGCGTACAGGGCCAGGCCGCCCACCGCGATGCTGGACGGGGCGAGATCGGGCAGCGGGCGGCGGGATTGAGCGGCGGTAGGGTGGGCGGAAGAAAGGGAGACAAGACAAGGGGAGTTGGAAGGGATGAGTTAAGGGGGCTGCGGAGGAGGAAGAGGGGGAGGGGGAGGGGGAGGGGGAGGGGGAGGGGGGGATTTGGAGCCACGGGATTGGGCAGCATGCCATGCATGGCACGATTGGCACGATTGGCACGATTGGCACGATTGGCACGCTCCATGGAAAGCAGGACAGAGAGACGGAGAGAGAGCTGAGAGCACGAGAGGCGGACAGAGGTGACTCACAGCACAAGAGTGGCAGTGAGTGGAGAAGAGCACATCCACTCGGTACGGTACGGCAGGCGTGAAGGAGCATGGCCCAAGACAAAGGGAGAGGCGACTAACAGCAGGAGAGGCAGAGGGAGGCGACTCACAGCACGAGCGTGGCAGTGAGCAGAGCAAGGCTCTTGACATAGGAGTGAGTGGAGAAGAGCACATCCACTCGGTACGCCAGGCGCTTGCTGAACGGCGCTGCTGCCACCTCCTCCCCCTGCCCATGCCCCCCCTGCACATGCCCCCCCTGCCCATGGGCCCCCGGAGCCCCCTGCCCATGCACCCCCGGCACCCCGCCTTGCCGGTTCCCATGGGCTAGTCCAGGGCTGCTCACACCGCCCCCCGCTGCCCCTTGCAGTGCCCCTGCTGCTGCACCGCCGCGCCTGTGCTGCTGTGCTGCGGTGTGGTGCGGTGACAAGTGGCTCAGTGCGGGGGTGACGGGTGTTTGCTCGGTTTTGGGGGGGTCGAGGTGGAGGAAGGCAGCGATCCTGTCCATGTGTTTGGCGAGCACTAGAGGGAGGAGGAAGCAGAGCAGCGAGGTGAATAGAGCCAAACGCCGCCACACCACTTCGTCACCCTCCGGGTTTCCTCCTCCTCCACCTTCCCCTTCCTCCTCCTCCACATCTTTCTCCTCTTCCTTCCCTCGCTCCCTCCCCCTGCTACTGTCTCCCACCCTCTCACGCCTACCGCATCTTTCCTTCTCCCCCTCTCCTTCCCCACTTCCTCCTTCGCCTCTGATTGGCTGCAGCAAGATGCCAGCTGTCGCCGCCCGCCCACCAGTGGGGAGCATGACCATGTCTTCCCACCATGCCGCCCCACTACTGCTGCTGCTGCTGCTGCTTCCAGTGCTGCTGCTGCTGCTGCTGCCGGTGGTGCTGCTGCCACTGTCCCCCCATGCACCAGAGTGCAGGCGCTGTGTGATGCGGTGCTGCCGCTCTATGAGCACTCGCAGGTGGAACTGGAGGAGAGAAGGCAGAGCAAACAGTGGGTGGTGAGGGGTAGTGGTCGGTGGTCAGGGGTGGGAGATGGGTGGTGGTGGGTGGGGGGGAGTGGGTGGCGGGCGGGTGGGGTCAGCAGCACCAGCATACGGAGTGGAGGAGAGTTAAGGGGATGAAAGAGAGGACAATGCACTCCACACCGCACTGCACTGCATTGGATCGGCTCGTTGAAGGTGGCATCGCCTTTCTATCATTAAAGGTGGCATGGCATGCATGTGGTGGAAGAAAGGAAAGGAAGCTCACCTGTAGAGCATCAGCGCGAGAGCGCTCGTGGATGCACCAGGCGAAGAGAGCCAAGGCAGCCATGATGGCCTGCCGTTGAGAGGGATGCACGCATGCATGCACGTGCGGCACATGACATGAGGGTGGATGATGGGCGCGGCACATGACATGAGGGTGGATGATGAGCGCGGCACATGACATGAGGGTGGATGATGAGCGTGGCACATGACATGAGGGTGGATGATGAGCGCGACACATGACATGAGGGTGGATGATGAGCGCGGTACATGACATGAGGGTGGATGATGAGCGCGGCACATGACATGAGGGTGGATGATGAGCGCGGCACATGACATGAGGGTGGATGATGAGCGCGGCACATGACATGAGGGTGGATGATGAGCGCGGCACGCCGGCACATGACATGAGGGTGGATGATGAGCGCGGCACATGACATGAGGGTGGATGATGAGCGCGGTACATGACATGAGGGTGGATGATGAGCGCGGCACATGACATGAGGGTGGATGATGGGCGCGGCACATGACATGAGGGTGGATGATGAGCGCGGCACATGACATGAGGGTGGATGATGAGCACGGCACATGACATGAGGGTGGATGATGAGCGCGGCACATGACATGAGGGTGGATGATGAGCGCGGTACATGACATGAGGGTGGATGATGAGCGCGGCACATGACATGAGGGTGGATGATGAGCGCGGCACATGACATGAGGGTGGATGATGAGCGCGGCACATGACATGAGGGTGGATGATGAGCGCGGCACATGACATGAGGGTGAATGATGAGGGGCGAGGCGATTTGATTCGATACACACAAGGGGTTGATTTGATTGATTGATATGAGCGGGTGGAGAGGGTGTGAGTAGGTGGAGAAGCAGCAGTTGAGAGACATGCAGAGGAGTTCGCTGGAGTGTGGCGTAAGGTAATGTGGCAGGCATGGTGGGAGGGAACGAAAGAGATGATGGGAACGAAAGAGATGATGGGAACGAAAGAGATGATGGGAACGAAAGAGATGATGGGAACGAAAGAGATGATGGGAACGGAAGAGATGATGGGAACGAAAGAGATGATGGGAACGAAAGAGATGATGGGAACGAAAGAGATGATGGGAACGAAAGAGATGATGGGAACGAAAGAGATGATGGGAACGAAAGAGATGATGGGAACGAAAGAGATGATGGGAACGAAAGAGATGATGGGAACGAAAGAGATGATGGGAACGAAAGAGATGATGGGAACGAAAGAGATGATGGGAACGAAAGAGATGATGGGAACGAAAGAGATGATGGGAACGAAGAGATGATGGGAACGAAAGAGATGATGGGAACGAAAGAGATGATGGGAACGGAAGAGATGATGGGAACGAAAGAGATGATGGGAACGAAAGAGATGATGGGAACGAAAGAGATGATGGGAACGAAAGAGATGATGGGAACGAAAGAGATGATGGGAACGAAAGAGATGATGGGAACGAAAGAGATGATGGGAACGAAAGAGATGATGGGAACGAAAGAGATGATGGGAACGAAAGAGATGATGGGAACGAAAGAGATGATGGGAATGGAAGAGATGATGGGAACGAAAGAGATGATGGGAACGAAAGAGATGATGGGAACGAAAGAGATGATGGGAACGAAAGAGATGATGGGAACGAAAGAGATGATGGGAACGAAAGAGATGATGGGAACGGAAGAGATGATGGGAACGAAAGAGATGATGGGAAAGAAATAAACTATGAAGGCACAGAAGGTGGGCAGAGGCTTGTCGAAAGAGTTTTTGAGTTTGGGCGAGTGGGGAGGTGAGGCGGAGGCGGAGGAGGAGGAGGAGGAGGAGGAGGAGGAGGAGGAGGAGGAGGAGGAGGAGGAGGAGGAGGAGGAGGAGGAGGAGGAGGAGGAGGAGGAGGAGGAGGAGGAGGAGGAGGAGGAGGAGGTGGAGGAGGAGGAGGAGGAGGAGGAGGAGGAGGAGGAGGAGGAGGAGGAGGAGGAGGAGGAGGAGGAGGAGGAGGAGGAGGAGAAGGAGGAGGAGGAGGAGGAGGAGGAGGAGGAGGAGGAGGAGGAGGGGATGAGGAAGGGGAGAGAGTGTGGAATGCGAGCTGCTGTTGAAAGGGATGAAGGAAGGGAAGCGGGCGGAGGGAGAGGAGGGCCAATGGAAAGAAGAGTGGGAGGGATAAAGAGGCAAGGCACGGGAGCCATAGACCTTACAGGGGGTGAGGGCGGCTTACGAGTATCCAGAGGAGCCAGAGAGTGCAGTGCTGCCACCATGGCCTGCGGTTAGAGTAGCCATGGAAGGGCGGGTACCCCCCAGGGCCCCCAGGCCAACCGGGAAAGGGTCGCTGCTGCTGCCAGGCCGACACGCCACCCGCCCCTCCCATCCCTCCCCCCATCCCTCCCCCCATGCCCATACCCATGCCTCTGTCGCCCATGCCCATTCCTCGTCCTCCTCCTCCCCATTCCCTTTCTCGCCCTCTTCCTCCTCCCCATCCTCCTCTTCCCCTGTCTGCCCCCCTCCCTCCCCACCACCCACCATCCCATTTTCCCTCCGCTGCTTCTCCCCACCACCCCCCGGATCCTTCGCTTCCCCCAGCCCCTTCCCCTCCCCACGCTCCCTCTTCCCCCCATGGCCCTCCCCCCCACCCCTCTCGCCCCCATCGCCCTCTCCCCCAGTCCCCCTCTTCCCACTCCCCACCTCCCCTTCTTCTCTCCCCCCATCCCCCCCGCCCCCCACTGCTCGCTCTTCCCCCATCCGGCTCTCCCCCATCCCCCGACTCTCCCCTTCCCCCTTCCCCAGCCTCCCTTCCCCAACCCCCACCCTGCCCATTCCCCTGCCCATTCCCCTGCCCATTCCCTTGCCCATGCCCCCGCCCATTTCCCCCTCCGTTCCCCCGGCCCCCCCCAGTCCTCCCCGCCATGCCCATTCAAGTGCCTGTGCGCCCTTCCATCGCCGCAGCCGCCGGTGCTCTCTCCACCGCCGCCGTTTGAAGCACCTCCCATATAATCACCACAGGGATTGCCAGACGAACCCCTTACACCACCACCACCACCGCCACCGCCACCAGCAGTAGCTGCTGCACCGGCAGAAGCGACAGCGGCAGCAGCGGCAGTGGTAGCGGCAGCAACGCCAGCAGCAGCGCCAGTTCTGGCAGCAGCAGCAGCAGGAGCAGCAGCGCCAGTTCTGGCAGCAGCAGGGCCCCCGCATCCTATCCTCCTCCACGCCTCGCTGCCTGCCTCAACACCAGATGCACCTACCCCAGATGAACTCACCCCAGATAACCCTCTCTGCGGCTCTTGCATTGTGGCCGTCTTGTCCTGTAGTGCTGCTGACGTGGAGGAAGGGACGGACGAGAGAAGCTCCGAAGCTGACATGGACGGGCCGATTCGCGGCCGAGGCAATCCCATCCTACCACCTGCACCTGTCACCGGACCTCCCTTGGCACCGAAGCTAAACGCCCGGGCAAACGACTTGGCCGAACCTAAGAGGCTCCCTCCCAGCCCCATTGCTTGTGTTGGGGGGGATGGCGGAGATGGGGGACGTGGGGGGGATGGGGGGGATGCCAGGCTCGCAGCAGCAGCATTCGCACTGACGCCCGTTTTGATTGGCCGCAGATTCACGGGGGTCGCCAGCTCCAGTTCCCCAACCAATCGGCTTCCACTGTTTGCGACGCCTTTCACTGATTGCGCATTGCGTGTCCCCCCGTCGCCTCCCTTTTCCGCTCCTTTCCCTCCCCCATCGAACTCGCTTTCCCCCTCTCCCTCCCCTCTCCGCCCTCCTGCCTTGCCTTCCGAAGCCCTCGCCCCGTTCCCAGCCTCTTCCCCCCCTGCAGAGCGCTGCTGCACGCGACCCTCCGCGGAAGACGAGCGCGGAACGGCTCCGCCTCCTTCCAGCGCGCGCCGCAGGCACGCGGAGCAGGGCATCCCCCAGCCGGGGGCGGCATGCGGGCAGGGGGCATTTGCCGCCGCCGCGGCTGAAGGCTCGGCGCGGGTTCGCGCGGGCAAGCGCTCATCATCTGCGCGCGAGGAGAAGGAATGCGAGGCGGAAAGGAACGGCGCGGCAGTCGCAGAGCGGGCGTTGGCGGAAGCGGATTTCCCTACCGGAGGCGTCGCGGTGGCTGCGCCGCTGGCGGAAGCGCCGGGTGTGCCTGTACCGAGCGGTGGCGAGGAGGACGTGTTAGAAGAACGATTCCTTCTAAGCGTGGGAACGAGCGGCGTGCGGGAGGAAAAGGAAATATTCCCGCGGTCCGGCGTGGTGCCGTGCTCCGGGACGGACGAATGGAATAAGGAGCGCGGGTCACCGGGTGACGTGGCAGCAGAGGACGACGCCCATTGGACCATGAAGCGCATGTCGCGGCCATTCATTGACGTGCTTCGTGACCACAGAATCTGTGGCTTCCCCCCCCCCCCGCCGCCGCCGCCGCCTAAGTCACGAGAATTAGTGCTGAAGCCGGTCTGGTTCTTCGGAAGCTGTTGTAAGGAAGGTTCCACGTCGGGCCCGCCGTCGTCCCCGTTCGTGCGAAGGAAGACGTCTCGTCGCCGCATTGTACGGCACGTATCGAGTTGTAGCGGTGTGAATGACAGTTATGAGAGCACTCAAGATAGGGACATACTACTACATCTCAATCGCCTCGCACTTGGTCCTCGACACGGTCCCCCATAAAGAGACTGGAACTTGGAGTGGAAAGCTCATGTGTTAAATAAGGGAATGCAACGCATGGGGCTCCCTTAGGGCGGAGTCGGGTTGCACAAAACCCACTCGTATGCACACTCCGTTACCAAATAACGCGGAGTAGCCACAAATTTTGGGGACTTAGGACCCGATCAGAATCCAGGCATGAATTCTGGGTTGAATAGGTAACTGCGTCAACATGTCTTGGGCATACAGCAGAGCCTGATCTCCAGTGCGCGAGAAGGTTTTTCTAACGAAACGGGTGACACTTTTTCGCAGGCAGAATAAGAGATCGGGATAAAGCATTCGTGCCGATTTTCGCGAAAATACTGTAACAATGGGTCTGTTAGTGTCGTGTTACTCAGCTCGCGAAACTGTTCTGGCAGTGTGGTGTCCCGCGCACAGTTTTGTGTGACTGGGTAACGAACCACACCAAAAAACGAACTGTGCATCCTACCTCACCCTTAAGGTCTCATGAGCCGGCAACGGTGAACCGACTGCACGTCCGAGTTCAGACAACCCAACTCCACAGAGTATTTTTCTTATACAGTGCACTGTTCTCCAGGCTGGTCGAAACCGTTGTGTTGCGAGTACCGGGTATGGAATTGGCGAGTATGAAAAGAGTTGGTGATGAGCCTTTTCCAAGCCCAGTGGGATCTACACGAATTACGGTGTGCAAGAGTTCCACGTGGTGATGATGGTTCCTTTCACCCCAACGAGACTTGACCCCCAACCCCAAGGCTGTCCACCAGCCAGCGAGATCAGGTGAGCAACCCTGCCATAATAATAGCCAAATTCCTACCTTGATTCCTGTCAACTCCGCTTGAACACCTTCGTCTTCCCCGGCGACTTCACGTGCCTTATTCACCATGTCCGGACGACAAGGTAACTAGTCCTCTTTAACTACTCGAGCGTGAGCTTCTTATTCGTTCTTGTTTTCGTAAGGGTGACTAGTTGTCCTTAAAACTTGCAGGCGGCAAGCTGAAACCCTTAAAACAGGCTAAGGCCAAGGAGAAAGACTACGACGATGTGAGCAGCAGTTAACATGCCTCAATTTGATGTTATCATCTGTTTTTTGAGACGATCCAGCATCTCGTGATCTGTCGCCTTTCTTGGATGTAACAGGCTGATCTTGCGTACCTAGCCAAGAAGAAAGAAGAAGAGAAGGTTAGAACCGAGACTCTTTCGTCGACTTCGCTTACCTTACCTTAAATGTTTTCAAGCTGTCCTGAGTTTGAGTTTCTTGTTTTCAGGCTTTAAAAGAATTGAAGTCCAAGGCTGCTAAGGGTTCTATTGGAGGTGCGGGTTTGAAGAAAAGCGGGAAGTGAAACGGTGACACTTTTCATTGTTCCAGAACTTCATACACATTATGCATCCACAACCTGGTCTGTCAAGAACGTAGAGCTTCTTGGTCACATGCTTCTTGCTGACTGTTCCTGACACCTGACGTTGCAAGTGGTGTTGAAGAGAAAATGTGTCGTACTGGAGAAGAAGCAGGGGTGCTATTTGAGAGGTTCAAAAGATGCAGGGAAAGCAGGATTCTGGCCAGAGAAAGTAGGTAGTTTCACATTGCTGAAGGTTCCGGGTTTATACGTACCGTGTTACCTTAGATATGTAATAAGCGATTTCAATTAATCATTTCATTTCATGGCTTAGGCCCTTCATTTCATGGTATGTAATATCTTGCGCCACAGGTTCTACCAGTATCTGGTAGTGGGTTTCCCCTAATCAGGTGAATGATCTTCAGTAGGTTACCCAGTAAGCAGCAGTTTACCGGAGCTGGAGTTCTTGGGGGTGACACTAACACGTAGCTGTGAGCCTGCATGGTGTTTCATTATTACATGTGCAATGGACGAGAGAACGAGCTTTGCACTTGATTGTCCATCTAGGCAGATAATTTGGTGGAAGAGAATGTGCCTTCTAACCATATCGTAGAAGGTACCGGCCGGCATATGCCTTAGAGACGTACGTATCGTATACGCACACTGACATAAAACCGAAGCATGGTGCCGGTGTAGCTTTTCACCATCTGACACACAAAAATGTTATGTCCCTCATGTCTGTACAAAGGTAGCCGTTGCTTCACCCTCATGCATGACTTGCTCATTTAGCAACGCAAGGTCCTCCTCCATGCTCCTCTGTAACCGCTGATTTGACATCTTCTCGTCAACCCTCCCTGCCGCTCTCGCTCTCGCATCCCCCCCTCCCACCTCCTCCCGCAGAGCTTCCAGGTCTTGGGCCACTCGGGACATGGAGGGGCGGGAGGCGGTGGGCATGGCAGTGCATGTGACAGCGAGGTGGGCGAGGCGAATGGTGATGTCTTCAGGTGCTTCCATGCGTGGGTCCCTGAGGAGTGTAGTCTTTCCTTCCGCCATTAGATCAGTTGCCTAGGATATGGGGCAGTACAGACATGATGGGGGGGGGGAGGGGGGGGTCGCAATTTATGGTGGGGGGCGGAAAATACTTGATAGGGGGCAGGGTTGGCACATGATTGGGGGTGGGTAGGACAAGACAGGAAGAAACAGATGCCATGGGCACAACAGATGAAGGGATCCCTGATGAGTACACGCGTAAACGGTTGTAGTTGGGGCGCTGAGGAAAGATCACTGCACCAATTTTGACCGGCGGAAGCGGGAATAGCATACGGACCCATTTGCAGATGGAAATTGGCTCGTGGCCGGCACAGGCGTCTGACTCAGTGCCAAGGCTCATCGCGTTGATGGTGGCTCCTCTGCCTGACAGCATCACCAGCATGAGCACGCCAAAGCTGCACCACGAAACGCACCCGAGTACAAAAAAGGAATAGGCACTCCCAAACAAGTTTTAAAAGACCATGGTCACGAAGGCTCTTCCGATGGTGGCTCTTCTGCCTGAGAGCACCGCCATCTTGAGAATGGCTAAGGTGCACGACGAAACACATATGAGTATGAAGGAAGCTCGGGATTAAGGGTGGAAGGGAGCATGGAAGCAAGGAAGAAAGAACGAACGAGAGAAAGGAAGAAAGCAAGAAAGAAAAAAAAAAGGAAGAAAGAAAGAAAGAAAGAAAGAAAAAACAAAAAAAAGAAATAAGGAAGCAAGTGTGCAAAGCCGCAAGGAAATAGGGACGCAACACACGAAGGAAGAAAGAAATCTAGGAAGCAAGCACTATCTCATTTGCTGTGGGTTTGAAACCGACGGGAAAGAAGCATTGCTAAGGCTAAGGTAGGAACGAAAGCAAGTGAGCACAGATAGAAGAGAGGCAAAGAAGATGATCTGGTGGATGTTGGAACACTCACTAAGCCTCAACTCCTTGTATCTCATACTGTCATTATACTTGCATTAAGCAAGTAGAGGCTGTGGTTTGAACCCCTTCCTTCTGATTTACTCCTAGACGAGTGTCATTCACTGTAGCTGTGCCCTTCAAGGGTGCACTACGTTTGTACACAACAGTGAGGGTGGTAGTGGCGTTGCGTTCCCTCAATCACAAATCCAACTCAACTAAGAAACCGAACTCAAGTGTGCACTGCACGCACCTGTAAACGTCTGCAGAAGTGGTGGCGTTGTGCGTGAGCGAGTAAGCAGGGTCCACATAGCCCACCGTTCCCAGCACTCGCGTGAATCCCGTTGTTGTGCCCGTTGCTGTGCCCTCCCCCACGTGCACAAGCCCAAAGTCTGCCACCTTCGCCTGGGGAAGGTCGGGCACGGGAGGCGAGACGAGAGGTAGAGGAGGATTTGGGCACAGCGGGTCAATCTGATTCAGACTGGATGAGATGATTTGATTGAGAGGATGGGTTGATTTGATTCACAATGGTTGTAACGCCTTCCCACTGTTGTGTGATGCAATCATATGCATTCACGTCTGTCTGCCTCCCACCTTATCTTTCTATGTTGCACGCGTGGTGTGCGTGTACGCAAGAATTTTTGTTTGGTGATGTTTGGATTTTATGAGTTTGTGTGAATGTTAATTTGTTTTGAGCAGATTTGTGACATGGTTTCTCTGCTCAAGAGAATTCCGACGAACAAAAAATCGTCGCGATCGAACCACGGACGAGAAAGTTACGAACGTTCGAAGTTCTTATGCTTTTCATGTTTGGTTGCGGCGGCTATGGGGGTTTGTTGAGTGACTTTATATGGAGTAGGGACCATTGGGAGTCGAAATTTTCGTCACTCTATTGTAGTTGCTGCCATGTGGTTGGGAGAAGCCAAAACCAGGTTGGCAAGTGTGGCCACATTGGGGTGAGATGGACTGCATGGGTTGGAAAATGACAAGGGTCAAAGTTGAAGTTCTTATAGGGAGAGGATATAGTGTGCTTATTGGATTTTTTTTGTTGGGGACTCCCTGGAGACCTTCCCTCTCGTCCTCATCATCCTCTTCTACCTAATTTCTTACTACTCTAATTCTCTTGTGTGGTTCTTGGTTGACAATTACGATTGAGTTGAGTTTCAGCTCCAGCATACTCCCTAGTGCACCGACATTCATAACTAAAAAAATACTTCATCTTTTCGTGTGATTCAAATTGGAAATTGTAGCCACAGTTTAGTGCTACAGCATATGCGAAAGTATGGTGAAGTTTTAACCGTGAATCTTCGTCGTCGGCATTCTTTGTCAAGTTGACATTTCTGTCCAGAATTATAGTCCAACGATTTTGAGTAATTTCGACCCTTTATCATCCTAGACTCCGTCCTTAATCCTATCACCCACCCCACCTACATGTGAAGCAAATGTCTTGTCAACATGTAATCATCCCACCTCAACACCACACCGCACCGCACCTGCATGTGGGCGTCAATGAGGATGTTGGCTGGCTTGATGTCCCGGTGCACGAGGCCAAAGCTGTGGAGATACTCCAACCCACGTGCCACCCCCAGGAGGATGCCTACTCGCTGCTGCAGAGTCAAACTTGTGGGTGCATCTGGAGAATGGCAGAGCAGAGGCACGGTCGCATGGGAGGGAAGCGGCATCAGAGGAAAGCAACATTGGAGGGAAGCAGCATTGGAGTCGGATCGGCACTTCAATACCAACAAAGGCATGCATTCGAGTTTTTTATCTGCTCGCTGGCTACTGCAGACTAGGTATGTACAAGGGCCGGGTCCAGCTCGTGAGTTGTCATGGACCTCCCTGCCTCATCAGACCTAAGGCTTCGGCCCCGCCTACTTCAACTAGGGCCAGTCTCACTCGACATGTTCACCTTTTTTTTTGTATGTGTGTGTGTGTTTTCTGCGTTTCTCTACCCACACAACTGCACGGTCGACACAGCACACAACAATGGACGGGATGGTACCTGGGGCGATCCACTGGCGCAGGTCGCCATTGGCGATGAACTCGTAGACGAGAATGTTCTCCACCCGCGTGTTCACATGGCCTCCCACTGCATACCCCAGCAGCCGCACCAGATTGGGATGGTGCTTCGTGGCCATCTGCGCCACCTGTGGTACAGCAAGAGAAGTGAGGCAGGGAAGGATAGGTGTGCTGACACAATGCAGCACTGATAGGCAGATGTTTGTGTAATGTATGAGCATCTTGGTTTCCCGTACATTGCCCTTAAACTAACTCGTTTTACTATAGCTTCAACAGTGTGGTATTCATCGAATATGAAAACGACATACACGAATATTCCATAGCAGATAGGCCGAACAAAAAAGCAAATAGAAAAACAGAGATTTCCAGACTCACGATAGCAATTGGTTGAGAAGTTGCAACATCATTCCCTCCCCAATTCGCCAGGGCCTGCCGCAAGTCGGGACATAACCCATGTGGTACACGTCTTAAAGGGACTACCTTTGAGCACCCCAAGAATACTGGCGCCAGCGTTGGCCTACCTCTCTGACTTCGGCCCACCTCTCTGACTTCGGCCCACCTCTCTGACTTCGGCCCACCTCTCTGACTTCGGCCCACCTCTCTGTGGAAGTCAGCGGTGATGACTTTGGCGCGCTTCACGGCCCACAGTGTGGTGCCATCCTCGGGGCACACCCCGCGATACACGTCTCCGTATGACCCCGACCCCAGCAGGCACTCCTTGGACCAGTTGTTCGTCGCACGAGCCACGGCAGCCAGGGAGTACCGTCGGCATGGTGTCGTTGCGTTCCCTAGTTGCGGGCTCGGGGAGTCTGTAGGGATATGGTAAACGGCACAAATTTGGTGTTTGTTTTCTTGTTTATCTTTTTCTTTTTTGTTGGAGGAAGGGGGAAGGGGAGAGGGCCTTGTGAAAAGTAACACATTTGGGAACACAGCAGCTTTGCTTTTTACGTTAGACGAAGACATGGAGCTTGTTGGTGGAGTCAGACAGAAAGTGAGGTGGTTCTTCCCACACACCTGAGTTTCCATGCATGACAAAAGGCAAACGCGTAACACACCTACCTTGTGTGGAAATCTTGAAGTGGGCGGCAAGGCACCAAGCTGATGCAAGCAGGAGAGGCACGAGCAGAACGGCTGCTGTCACAATGCCAATAACAGCTCCCACGGACAGGCCAGAAGGGGAAGCGAGTGAGGGGGAGGAAAGTGAGGAGTTGGAGGAGTTGTTGACGGTTTGATTTGGTGATGGGGATGGTGGAGGAGAGGCCACGATTCGGGATGAGGATGGGGCTGCTTTGGAGGGACACACACACCGACACACCAGAAGGACACACATTGAAGCACGACCAGAATCACAAGTGGTGGTGAAGCAGTGGAATCATGACTAGTGGAGTCCCAAAGCATAGATGGTCAAGATTGTGTTCAATTGGAGAATTCAGGATAGTGTTCCTGCTCTGCTCTGCTCTGCTCTGCTCTGATCTGCTCTGCTCTGCTTTGCTCTGCATGCATGCATGCAGCTGCAATGAAATAACAGGCTCAACTCGGCGTTGCCCAGCTCAATTCGCATTGACTGGTGACCTTACATTGACTGGCATGACTTAGAATTGACTGGCATGACTTAACGTTGGTTGTCATGACTTAACATTGATCAGTGGGACTTACCCTAGGTTGGCCCATTACCTTGGGCAATGACTGATGCAGCCTTGGGCCGTCGACTGGCATGACTTTGTGTTGACTAAAAAGACTGATCCGTGATTGCCAAAACCTACTTATATGACTGGCAATTCTCCAAGCACCTCACCTTCATCCATCATTGCACACGTGGCACAGTAGCTCTTGCACTCGTAGCATAAGCACCCTTTGGGTCCACTCAAGAGTCACCTCAGTGCCCTTACCAGCTCATCTTTACCACTTGTACACATGGGGCAAAGGTGTCTATTTTCAGGCGCCTCATAAGGCGCTTCACGTGTACATGTTGTGGCACAAAAGCTCGTGCATCTGTAGCAAATTCTGTGTTTGAGTCGACTCAATAGCAAATTCTGTGTTTGAGTCGACTCAATAGCAAATTCTGTGTTTGAGTCGACTCAATAGCAAATTCTGTGTTTGAGTCGACTCAATAGCAAATTCTGTGTTTGAGTCCACTCAATAGCAAATTCTGTGTTTGAGTCGACTCAATAGCAAATTCTGTGTTTGAGTCGACTCGACTCAATAGCAAATTCTGTGTTTGAGTCGACTCGACTCAATAGCAAATTCTGTGTTTGAGTCGACTCAATAGCAAATTCTGTGTTTGAGTCGACTCAATAGCAAATTCTGTGTTTGAGTCGACTCAATAGCAAATTCTGTGTTTGAGTCGACTCAATAGCAAATTCTGTGTTTGAGTCGACTCAATAGCAAATTCTGTGTTTGAGTCGACTCAATAGCAAATTCTGTGATATCTCAGAAACTGCAACGCCCCAACCCCAACCGAGAAGCTCACATTCATCGCTTGCACATGTGGCACAGAAGTCTATTTTTGAGGCGCCTCAAAAACACCTTTCTCAGAAAATGCAACTCCCCAACCTAGAAGCTCACATTGATCTCTGATGCAAGTGGCACAGAATTCGTGGCAGTCTAGGCAGAAGGCGCTGTAGTTGGTCTGCCGAACCACACAGCTGGACGCATCTGGTGGGCATGTGAGGCCCGAACCTGACGTTTCACTGTGGGATGGAAGGAGGGTGGTGAATGGAGGGATGAAACAGAGCGAAGTGCCAAGGCATGATGAGAGAGCAGGAAAGGGACGGCGAATATGAATGATGTGTCTTATGTGAAGCTAAGTTGCGGAAGACGCGTCTAGCGTCTTAGACGCGTCCGTCTAGACGCAGCGTCTAAGACGCTAGACACTAGTGAGGCTGGATTAGACGCAGTACTAGACGAAAACCCGGGCAGGCCTAAAAAAAAGTTCGGGCAGACCAAAAAAAGTACCAAGGGGCATGGGGAGGGTGGGGAACATGCACCTATGTCACAATGGGGTGAATTTTTGGGCGTACCATAATTTTTCCCTAAGGGTTGCGCGCGCGGTGGAAAGAGCTAAACCCTAAGGGTTTTCGAAAGAGATTTGAAAGAAATGAAGGTTGGGGAGCACAAATTATGGATTTGTGCTCCCCAACCTCTTTGTGGTTAACCATAGAGGTTGGGTTCTGTAGATAATGAGTGGTGAAGAGTGGTTTGTATTCAATTGTGGTGGGGGAGGCTTCAGATTTGCATGGGGGGCTGGTTTTGGGGTCGAAATGGGTGGGAAGGGGTTTGAATAGCGCGAAATTGAATTTCGCGTCGAAATGGCGAAATTCAATTTCGCGCGCGATTTTTTTTCGGGCTGCCCGAAGTTTTTTTAGCCATGCGTCTTGCGTCTAAATCAGCGTCTTCCGCAACTTAGATGTGAAGACAAGCACGTGAAACACAGCAGAGCACACTGCACAGCAGAGCACACTGCACAGCAGAGCACCCAGCACAGCAGGTCACTCACAGAAAGACGAGGCCTTTAGAGCCGCCAAGAGCAGCAGGTAGGGGGCCGGAGAAATTGTTGTCGCTGAGGTATCTGCCATGCAATGGAGGGTTAAAAAAGCGACCCAATTCGGATGGGTGTGGTGTGGGCGGCACTGCATGCATGTGGATGTGTGAGGACGGCAGGTAGCGGGCCGGAGAAATTGTTGTCGCTGAGGTATCTGCCATGCAATGATGTGGTAAATGTGCTGAACGGCACGTGCAAATGGGCAGATGTGAAGGAGGAGCACATGCGACAGCGATGACAAAAGTGATACAGTAGCCTAATCCGGTAAGCAACAAAAGAGTAACAAAACGATGAGCTCCATTGGTGGGCCGTCGACCGCATATCCCCAACTACAACCCAGAGGCCGTTTCATTTCAAGGAGAGGTTTGGGAGAAAAGGGGGGTGGAAAGGGAGAATAGAGCATCGCACTCACAGCCCATGGTTCGGGATGTAGGTATGTTTCATTCGAGATTGCAGTCTTCTCAGACAGCATGTTTTCAACATAGCGAATGACGTGCGTGTGTTGCTCTACCCAGCACTTTTCAGACAGCATGTCTCCTTGAGGAGTGAAGGGGGTGGTGTGGTGCGCATGTCAACCGCACAACCGCAGATCAGAAACAATCACAACCGTACACTGGGGAACCAATCACAACCGTACACTGGGGAACCAATCACAGTCTCTGTGGTGCACTCACAGCCATGCAACGCTGGACATCTGTGTGATCCAGAGAGGAAATGAGCCGTTCAGGTTGTTGCGGTTGAGGAACCTGTGGAGGAGCAGAGCAGAGCAGAGCAGCGCAGAGCAGAGCAGCGCAGAGCAGTGCAGCGCAGAGCAGAGCAGAGCAGAGCAGAGCAGAGCAGAGCAGCGCAGCGCAGAGCAGAGCAGAGCAGAGCAGAGCAGAACAGAGCAGAGCAGAGCAGAGCAGAGCAGAGCAGAGCAGAGCAGAGCAGAGCAGCGCAGAGCAGAGCAGAGCAGAGCAGAGCAGAGCAGAGCAGAGCAGAGCAGAGCAGAGCAGAGCAGCGCAGAGCAGAGCAGAGCAGAGCAGCGCAGAGCAGAGCAGAGCAGAGCAGAGCAGAGCAGAGCAGAGCAGCGCAGAGCAGAGCAGAGCAGCGCAGAGCAGAGCAGAGCAGAGCAGAGCAGAACAGAGCAGAGCAGAGCAGAGCAGAGCAGCGCAGCGCAGCGCAGAGCAGAGCAGAGCAGCGCAGAGCAGAGCAGAGCAGCGCAGAGCAGCGCAGAGCAGAGCAGAGCAGAGCAGAGCAGAGCAGAGCAAAGCAGCGCAGAGCAGAGCAGAGCAGAGCAGCGCAGAGCAGAGCAGAGCAGAACAGAGTAGAGCAGAGTGACGCACATGAGGCGCTTCAAGAGGAGCGTGTGAATAGCAGAGTGATGCACCCCATGCATCTGTAACCTGTAGACGGACAGAGAGAACCGGCACGTAGGCTGATGAGCATGTGGACTATTGTTGCCCTCCCATTCATGCGCCCACGCATGCACCCACGCATGCACCCACGCATGCAACCATGCATCAAGGTTCCCATGCGTCCATCTTCCCATGCGTCCATGTTCCCATGCGTCCATCTTCCCATGCGTCCATGTTCCCATACGTCCATGTTCCCATGCGTTCATGTTCCCATGCGTCTATCTTCCCATGCGTCCATGTTCCCATGCGTCCATCTTTCCATGCGTCCATCTTCCCATGCGTCCATGTTCCCATGCATCCATGTTCCCCTGCTGTCGCGTGAGTCGTGACTCACAGTTGTTGCAGGCCAGAGAGGCGAGAGAGGGTGGTGGGGAGAGTGCCGGTCAAGTGGTTGTTGGAGAGATCCCTGCCAGCTCATGCAACACAGCCACAGACAGTGCAGACGGGGATGCCATTTTGTGATTCTTTATGTCAGCTAGAAGAAGCAAGCGTTTGTTGGAAAGGTCCCTGCGAGCTCATGACACACAGTGGTGGCGTTTCTCCATTGACAGTCTATCTAAAGAACCGCATGGCATGACGTGTTGGGCACACGGTGATGGCATGGTGTGTAGGTACGAGAGAGGGAGGGAATGCAATGAAAAACAACAGAGGGTGTGATACCCAGCGTGATGGTTGGATGAAGTTGCCTTTAGAGTCGACTAAAAATTCAACTCACAAGAGAGGGTCAGTCAGATACTCAGCGTGATGGTTGGATTGGATGAAGAAGAGCGGAGATGGGAATCAGGATTGGAGGTGGAAATAGAGGAGAGGAGTCATTCAGCTATCTCACAGTTTCCGAATATACTTCATGTTGCCAATGCCCTCAGGTACGGCTCCCACAAACTGGTTGTCTGACAAGTCCCTGCAACACACGCGTCAGAATTGTCAGCCATGTCATTGGTTATTCGCTCGCTCCTATGCGAGTGGAGGGGAGTCTGGGACGTTTGAGGCGGCTCAAAAGGGTTCCTCTAAACTGGTTGTCTGGCAAGTCCCTGCAACGCGCGGGCCACACTTGTCAGCCACATGATTGGCTGTTCTCAGATCTGTAGGCCGGTGTTGAGAGTTCTGAAACCGGACCTACAAAGTCCCTGCAACACACTTGTCAGCCTTGTCAGCCACATGATGTGCTGTTCGTTCCTACACGAGTGGCAGGGGG